AAAAAAAAAAAAAAGAAAAAAAGCGGCTAAAGATTTCATTTGAATTTTTGATGCAAAACAACCACCATGGATACGCTATGCTTGTGGAAGAAAAACTTAGCAAACTCAATTCTTATAAAAAAAAAAAAAAAGAAAAAAAGCGGCTAAAGATTTCATTTGAATTTTTGATGCAAAACAACCACCATGGATACGCTATGCTTGTGGAAGAAAAACTTAGCAAACTCAATTCTTATGCTCTACGGTGAGGCGAGGCGAGGAGAGGAGAGGAGAGGGGCGCTCCATCACAACCTTGTCTCCTGGCAGTTGAGAGGAGGGTAGATTAGGGATAACAATCCATCATCGAAGGTTCAATCACCTGGGTATCAGTCGACATAACTCAAACGGAAGGGGGGGGCAGGAAGAGCTGATGCTTCAGGTCTGACAGACAGACTCATCAGCATCAGCAATCATTCACTACAACGCACGGAACAGACCGCAAGAAGTAAGCAGAGGTACTACTACTGTGAAGCTTTTTTTTTTTTTTTTTTTTTTGCTAATGCAACATGACAACTGTGGAGTACGAGAGTGGGGCACTGGGAGCCTTCCCTGAGCTTTGTGCAGATCCACCTCTCCTGCCTGAGACCCTGTGCGCGCATACGTGTTCTATTTGTTCGCTTGTTTGGTATGGGCATTGTGTTTGCTGCTACACGTATGGGGATTCTGTGACACAAGGCATTTCGTTATTTTTCCTGTGGCCAAAAGTGGACAGATGGTTGAACCGGCACTACATGCCTCAGGCAAAGCAGGTTTCAGAGGTGCAGGGCTGGCACAGCCGGCCAAAAAGAAGTAAAAGGGCACCCATGCTGGCTGTTTATTTCCTTGGCGGGCAGCGCTTGAAAGAATCGTAAAAACAGCCTCGGAGGTAGTGGTTGTTTCATTGCACATCCGAGCGGATGTAAATCAAAAGGCGAGGACTGACCGGCCATCGGGATTGGACTGAGCGATTGGGAGAAGGAAGACATACGGGCATGAATGGTGTTGGATTGCGAAGCGCAGCGCAGCTGGCCGAGAGGAAAAGAAAAGTAAGACTACATGGTGCTTGGCAGACAAAATCATGGAGACTAGGGACCTGTGCAGATAATGAGTGGGTGCAGAAGAGGCAGTGCGAGCGAGCAACCGACCAACCAACAGAAGAGAGAGGCAGGGGGGCTGGGAGAAAAACAGAGAGACAGAGAGACCGGGGCAGAGAGAGAGACTGCGACAGACAGACACAGACACAGACAGAGACAGAGACAGAGACAGAGACAGAGACAGAGACAGAGACAGAGACAGAGACAGAGACAGAGACAGGAGATAGTGAGGGAGGGAGGGAGAGAAATACTGCTGCTAATCACAGATTTCATAGCGAGGCAGAGGGGGTGGGAGAGACAGAGAGACAGAGAGAGATAGAGAGAGTCACAGAAAGTCAGAGACAGAGACAGGAAAGCGAGAGAGGGGTAGAGAGAGAGACAGACGGGGACAGAGAGACAGAGAGGGAGGAAGGGGGAGGAATACTGCTGCTACTCACAGCTTTCATAATTTCGCAAGTATCGCGCGAGCTTTCGTAGAACGGTTAACTTGTCCTCGCGGGAGATTTCCAATCCATACGAAGGATCATTAGCAATGACTTGCAGGCCTTGGCGCAAATAAGATGAGGGTACGTCGAGGGAGAGGTCAAGATCTCCATCCCAGCTGTACATGTCCATCCGGTACGATCCAAACGGAACAACAGAAGAACCTGCCAGAGGAATCACATCCACACACAATGCGCACATGATAATGAACGCAAAAGGGTTTTCAAACTCTTCAACATCTTGGACACCGTCCATCACCTGCAACCTCTATCTCAACTTCTGTAGGGCACACAAAAGCGAACCAACTCTCCACCCCACCCCACCCCATCCCATCCCATCCCATCCCATTCCATCCCATTCCATCCCATCACATCACATCATATCACATCCCAGCTGTTCGGGTCGATCCAGTATCGAATCGACCCAACTGGAATGGAGAGTTGGGTCGATACCGGAACACAACACAAGAACCTTCCAGAGCAACGACATTCATGCATCCCTACGTACGATAATGACAATGACGACGATGATGATGCTGATGATGCCGATGGAAAAGAACAGACATAGGGAAGGAGGGCAAGGTTTACATCAAGCTTCTGCTCCAAATGAAAACGACCGCCTTTTCCCACAGAGAACGTACGGGTCATTGTCGCTGTATTTGGACGACTTTCAGTCTAGATACAGCGATAAGGACCGTTTCGTTGTATTCAGTTGAAAATGCTAGGGTGTACCTCCCTTGCACAAATAACTGAATGCTACAGAAGTGTAATCGCTATCGTCAAATACATATAGATGAGTCGGTGAAACTCCGACGAAACAGTTTGTCACAGCCCCTCGTTTGTTGTCCTCTTCTCTCTCTCTGCCTACGGTTTACCGGCCAGTTCTGTTTGTGATGATATATATTGTCACATCACTACAAACTAAAAGAGCGCACTTTGCGCAACAAAGAATAAAAGCAAAAAACGGGCACAGTGATAACATGCAAAAATAAAAACAAAAAGAAAAAACAAGGGCAGAT